ATTGATTTGGTCTACCTCAAAAAAATAAAATGCGAGCGTAGATTTTTAAACACCGCAAACGAGATACGTGGTTTGGTAGTTTCACCGTCGACATGCAACATCTCCATTATTACAATCAGACGTCAGTAGAATACACTGATTGTGAGTCAGAAGTGCATGTTGCCGACTGCGCACATACGGACGTCACCGTTTCCGAACGAGGTGTGTGTTTCCATTGCTAATTGAAGGTCCTCGTTAAAAAGCGCTAAGCACGTGCTTCCTCACCTCATCATCATCTCTGACAGGTGGGTCACAAAATGAACATGAGTCGCCGCAAACTGATGATGGGTTTACGGGGAGGCGCAGCAGGGCACTCAGCGGGCTGCAGCTAATATCACACTTCGGCGCATTCGCGGATGCTCTGTAACAGTGGCGTGGCGTGAATGATCGATTATCGATATTTCTCCATTTGAAGCTATGGTAAAGAATCGATAATTAAGGTGTCCGCTGCGAACACCCTGTTTATCGATCCTTTTCCATAGGTTTAAAGGACAGATCTATCGATATATCGCAAGGCGCGCCACGCCACCGCTCTGTAAGCGATGCGATGCTCGCTGATCATTTAAGCGTGGGGCAATGAGTGAATGAGTCACGTTGGAACCTTGAAAAATGGAACTACGCACAGTCCGCGAGCGGTTACGAGATCATTCAAAATCACTACGATCCTCTTTTAAACTTCCCCTCATCAGTAGGTCGTCTTTTATTGAAAAACGAGCAGTGTCTCTAGTAAAAATCGGAAGTAGAATCTGGGTTCCCTGGTAAAAATTGGCAGTAGAATCTGTAGTCCAAAATACCATAGACTTAAAGCCGGCTGTAAGATTTCCAATAGCTTCTGTTGCCGGCTGTACAATTTCTTATAGCCTTTTATAGCCGATGGCGATTAAACAACCGCCAGACGATAAAGTTTATGCTAAACGTTACTAATTACGGATACTAGGACTTAATTGGTTTTTGGACTACCGCTCTCTTTTTGTGCCGTAGTATCTTGATTTATTTTGCGAGGAAAGCTCCGTGCTTTTGAAGGATGCCTGTCATTCTTAACATGTTGGAGTGCCTTCAATTTCCTATGATATTGTGCAATACCTCTGGTGTGAAATAGTTGCTTCAGACGCCGCGCCGTGGCACGCTGCGGCGCGGCGGGCGGGCAGAGAGCGCGAAACGCGCATTGGCGCCTACAAACCTAACAGGGATACTTCACGCATTGCGCAATGCGTGAAGTATCCCTGTTAGGTTTGTAGGCGCCAGTGCGTCGCCGCTCCGCTTTGTGTTAGGCTCTAATAAATAATCTCGCGGAGTCAGCGTTTTTCAACTCATGATTCTGAAATGTTTGCACACTCTGTATGGATTATTCTCATTTTAATTGATGAAAAAAAATGTGTTTTAAAGGAAAATATAATGTGTGTTTTGTGAACATTAAGGTAGTTCCGTAAAAAACTTAATGATTACCAAAGCACACGAATTTCTACACAATTTCTTATAGCCTTTTATAGCCAATGGCGATAAAGTGTAAAGCCCGGCGATAGAAACTATAACCCGACAGCATACTTTTTTGTAGCTTCGTGTAGCCCGGCTATATGATTTGCTCCGCTTTCTACAGCCAGCTGTGTGATTTTCTACAGCCTTCTTTAGTCGGCCATAAGAACTCCTATGGTATTTTGAAACGCAGCTCCTATCGCCAATTTTTACCACGGTTCCAAAATACTACAGACCTACAGCCGGCTATACAATTTTTTATAGCCTTTTATAGCCAATGGCGATAAAGCTACAACCAGGCGATAAACTATATAGCTCGGCGATAGGAACTATAGCCCGGCTGTATGATTTTCTTCGCTTTCTACAGCAATGATTCAATATCGCTTTCTACTGCCGGCTATAATAATTCCTATGGTGTATTTTGAAACGCAGCTCCTATTGCCAATTTTTACCAGGGGTACGTCCGATGTCATTGATATGGAACCTGATCATTACAATTATTTTTCAGAATTTCTTTTCATTTTTTTTATTTTTTTATTTTATTTTCTTGTAGTCGTCCCAGTTGCTGAGTCACATGTAGTGGTGGGCGCCGCGCCGTGCCTTGATCTAATCCCCTTACGAATAAAACGGGTTTTCTCCAAATTATCTGTACATTTTACTTTATCGTTCAAAAATGTTTACATAAAAGTAAGGAGATAATAAGTTTTGTTTTCTAGAAAATGATAGGGTAAATTAATAGTTGGAAATTTTGAGACGTTGCAGCAGAGATACCTACGCAATTTCCAACTTTGGCCATTGATACAGACTTGTGCAACTTGCTGGTTTTAAATTGAGGCATATTTGAGGGGCTTGGAGAACAAGGCGGGTAAAAGCAGTTTTTTAAAAAATTGATATCCTAATGCATTCAAGTAAAACTAATTTTAGTGCATATTCTGTGTGAAAATTCGCTCCCAAATTCCAATTTTTAAGCATCAAAAAGTCAGTTTGAACTTCCTTTCCGCGATTAGGATCCATGTAATTTTGAAACTTCAAACACGTATTTCCCGAAATAGCAAGAAATGCATTTATGCACCTTGTCCTCCAAGCTCCTCATTTCGTCACCTTCCAGGCAAAGTATCACAAGCGCCATGCGACGTTTAAAAATTTCCGCCGCCATTTTATTTCTTTACTGAGAAATTGTTGGTTGAATCTGTTTGAAAATTTCACTAAATTTTATGGGCAGCACAATGAAAATTCAGTGAAATTTTCGGACAGCTTCGTTGAACAATTTCTCTGTAAAAAATAAAATGGCGGCGGAAATTTTTATACGTCGCATGGCGCTTGTGATACTTTGCCTGGAAGGTGACGATTTCTCCTCGTGTGAGTTCCAATTCTGGGGATATCTACCACAGAAAGATGAATGAAACATCTTTAAGGATAAGCTATGCTTTAGCCAAGGGGCAAGAAATCCTCAATAACCGAATTTCATGGTGTGCAACTCAGCTTTGGGTGGAGTGGGTCAATGAACTGTACTCTCGACGTTCTCAAAATACCTTTCAAATAATAGGCGTGGGTTTCTCTTCAATTGATTTGCTTGCCATGATCCGTGACTAGGTGTTTTCATAATTTTGGAGTAGCCTCGATGTGGGGGTAATTTAAGGTCTTCGGTCTATGTTTACTTGCTGTAAAAATAGGACCATGGCAATCATGGCATAAAACCGGAGTTAATCATTTTCATTTGATACCATTCGATGCTCAGGATACTAGATTAATATTTTAAAAGCATTCATAGTAACCACTTAAATGAGGATTGATTAAGAAAAGTGCATTCGGTCTCATGTTTGGACGGCATTTTTTATGCAAGAACCGCCTGCTTTACGAGGTTCATGGCAAACTCATGATGCTCATACATCCTTTTTCCTCAGGAGAATCGATCTTATTTCTAAATGAATTGTAAACATTTTCCTATCTCTATTACCGGCTCTCGGCAAAAATTCAAATCAACAGTTTTTATGGGTTTAAGGTGGGTCAAAAACATTCATAGAAATTCCTTTTTGTCTAATATCAAACGTTTGACATTTTGCCTCGAATTTTTCATTATGTGTTATTTTAAAATTGTTTTATTTTTTATTTTTTCCTCATTTATTGATTGGCTTATCTCATTCTTCAAGAATATTCTTCTCCAACGTTTCCAAGAATATTATCATGAACGTAATTATTCAGCAGGATTTATAAGCACTTGACGTAGGTATTCCATGCATGTTGTTTCCATTTCACTTTCGACCGACAGGGTGAAAAGTGTCCTTGAATTGCAAAAAGTCCTATGCTTCTCTTAATTTTTCAAGGTCTTTGATATAAGATATCCTTCTACTTTCCTAACTTCCCACGGAATTTCGAGCATCCAAAAGAAAATCAGAGTCCGCATTAAATACGGAAAGTGCGTGACCACCAAATCTTCAGGCGCTTTTTTTCAGCCGATCAGACACTCGACGACCAATTTTTCATTTCTTTTGGAAAATAACATAGGAAATGGCAACCAGATGGTTTTTTCGAATTCAGTCGATTTTTCGGCAAAAATATGATCTCGGCTGACTTTTCGGGCACGACTCCTTTGATTGATATATGATACATTTCACTTCCTTCAAAAAGATACCAATGATCTTGATTTTTGACATTTCAAATTTCTATCACTTGGGTCGACGTTCTTGGCAAATTTGAAATGTCAAAAATCAAGATCATTGGTATTTTTTTTGAAGATATGGTTGCAGTTTTCCATTTTATTTTCCGTAAGAAATGAAAAGGTGGTCGTCAGGTGTCTGATCGACTGAAAAAAAAACGCAGGAAGATCAGGAGGTTGCCCTCTTTCCTTATTCAATGGGGACTTTTATCTTCGCTTCGTTGAGCACAAAAATGCGTTTCACAAGGAAAACTGGTTAAAGTTTGAACCTGTCAATTGGAAACACGAGTGTGAGAAGCTGTGGAAAACATTCCGATGGACAAGGAAATTTATCGTTTGATGGCAAAACGTTTTGTCTTTATTCCCTTAATTTTTCACGCGGTTTAGTTAAAAATGACATTTATGGGGTTTCTCTCCTGCGGGCCGATTATTGAAAGTTTAAAGTAGCCCGATAAGACATCGAATTGCAATAATATATTGCATGGTTAAGATAGGGCTATGTCTTGTCGTATCGGGCTGACATAGTTTCAATAATCGGGCCGCTGACTTCTTATAAGCCTGTCATAGTGCATAGTGTATTTTTTCTTCAGAGGAGTTACACTGCGTCAATATGGAAAATGAAAACACGAGGTCTTAATTAAAACATTCAATCGAGACAACATTTATTTTACAAATGAGAACAAGAGGAATCTATAAATAAATAAGCGAACGTGTGGAGGGGTTGGACATGATCGGGGGGTGAGGTATTTACGAGAGGAATGATAGGAAAATGTACAGAATAATTTAGGAGAGGGTGGGAGGACCTTAAAAGTAAAGCATTTATCCTGGGAGTCTAGACGGTATTGCTTCCGAATTTGGTTAGGAGTGTAACCATTACAACGGGTAAGACGATTGCGATGATGGACTCTCGGAGGGTGGGAGCTTTGTTGCAGGCGTCCGTGTTGCACGTTTCGCAAAATTCGACTTTGATGTAGGATGGTGACGAGGATGGGGAGCAGGGGCCTTCCACATTCTTGTTGTCCGGCTCCCAACTGCAGGACCGGATGATCACTCTCTCGTCGTTTACTGAAACACAACCAAGATCGATTCAATTTACTTGAGGAAAAAAGCAAACACGCTTAAAGGTGATGCGGTCTGATGAAAGTTCAAAATAATTGGTTCAAAGGGGGCCCTCAACTTATGAATTCAACAAGTCCAGGACCAGGACCACCCTCTATATACCCCACACTGAAAAAAACATATCGACGGTGCAAGTCGGCAATCACATAACTCGTTTGCGGTGTCTGAAAATCTCCGCCTCTACGTCATTTTTTTAAAGGAGAACAAATTGATATTATTTCTTGAAGTTTTTGCAGAATTTTCTTCGCATTGAGAAGAAAAATCATGACAGTTTTAAAGAATTGCCGTTGAGTAGTCTTCCATTTAAAAAATAAAGTATGACAGGAAGTCTGCGACGTCGCAAATCGAGTTATGTGATTGCCGACTTCCACCGTCGATATGGTAGATATTACCATACTCTGACACTGTGATACGAGTATGATGATAAACACCAGACTCTATGGTAACATTCACAATGTTATGGTAAGGATCACCAGAGTTCTGGTGAATACTACTATAATACTGGTTATTATCACTAAATAGTAGTGCTGTGTTAAAACGTAACTCTATTTTCAATATTTTCAAATTTCCTCTCGCAAATTGCCTATTTACAAGGAGAATCCTCGGCAATTCTAACTGAAAATTTCACTGATTTTTCCTCGTATATTCATGTTTCATGCGAAAATCAGGTTTTTTTATACAGATTGTACAAAATGTACATTTTTATAAAATAAATCTGAACGAGACTGAGAGGGGGGGAGGGGCTCAGTCACGGTGGTTGAATGGGGGGATCCCGAGGGGCTCAGCCAATATGGTGAAAATAGGGGGGAAACCGAGGGACCACCTCCAAAATGGAGGAAAAGAGAGAGGGGGGCTAACTTGGGGGAGGGGGATGCACCAAACGCCTTATGGGCTTTTTGGAGCTTCCTCAGACCACGAAAGAGATGAACCTCTAATGACGCGTGAAATCCATCATCGGAAACTCTCAAAAGGGGTGCATTTATTGAACTTACAAAATCAGAACTACAAACAGAACTTAACTACAAATACAAAAATGGCGGGCGGGGCTATAGCAAACTAATGGGCGAGTGGAGGGCGACAATAAGGGGGGTGGGAGCCGGAAACCAGGCTCCCTTCCAAAAATTTAACCTTGCACAAGGATGGTGGATGGACAATCCCGTGCCATTCCTAGCTTGGAGTGTGCAAAGCACAAACCGGTGTCGGAGGCGGCGACCGGGGGGATGATCAGGGAGCCAATGCCATTCCTAGCTTGAAGTGTGCAAGCACAAATCGGTGTCGGAGGCGGCGACTTGGCAAGGTGAGGGTGAATGGAAGGAAGCAAGGTGGAAATCGAATAAGGACTTGGTCCGTCCGCGCTCATACGTCGCAGGAGCAGAGCCAAGCCTTACTAAACGAGGAGCTGGGTGACAGACTCGAGGGCTGCTGGCTCTGGTCGCGGACCCCATCAAAGATAAAACACGAAAAACTGTGGAGGAACGCGAACCGAAAGACCAGACAGCGAAATCTATTGGTGAAGCATTGATACAAAATGTGCGAGAGAGAGCATGGAGGAGGGCAAATGTGCGGTGGGGCAAGGGGAGACAAGTGAATCATAAGTACAGAGCGGGCCCGGCCCCGGGACCAGAGGGGCCATGGGGAGCGGGAGGGGGCACTAAATGGAGCGTGAGTGCCGAAAAATGAGGGGACGCAGAAACGGGGGGAAAAGGGGGAAATCTCTCCTTAACAAAATCAATTTTATAAGTTAATTCGGCAAACTTGGAATGGAGTTACGCTTGTTTGTGCGGGAAAAGACGAATTTAGCAACCTTGAATTTTGTCGAGGGGGGTTCCGTACCCCAACTTTATGGGTCAGCATTTTGGTCAGGGATGGGCCAATTTTGGAATTTTTGGGATCGATTTCGATTCAAATATTCCGTAGTCCGCGACTTCGTCCGACCAAAACTAACCGAGAAAAAAACCTGGATCGGTAGGTCTGGAACACCCTGTATACTCCTGATTTTGGGATCAAGAACGGTGGGGCGGCGCTCTATCTACAATGTGCGTTTCTCATGAGCCTCTATTTTTCACCTTGCCATAGAATGTATTGTAATTTTTCTTGGTTACTCCTTTAAGGTGATTCGATGGACGCCATATTTTGTGTCAGAACGGCATGCGATATGTCGCATCGATTAGTTCCATTTTTTCAGGTATTCGTCATCTTCCTCGAATTATGCGATCGCATTTCTGTCGTCAGGAGACTAAAAAATTCACTTACCAATGTTAACAAATACCGAAATACAACGTACTAAAGGCGAGGTTTTTTTAGGGGAAAAAGATTGCATTCGAGTGCAGTTTCGATATCAGTATCGAACGCGATATTTTTCCTCTAAAAAAAAACCACGCATTTATTACATTGAATTTGTTTGTCAAAATTGGTAAGTGGATTCTTTAGTCTCCTGACGACAGAATTCTGATCTCAAAATTCGAGAAAAACGACAAATAGCTGAAAAAATGGAACCAATTGATGCGATAAATCGCATGTCGTTCTGACACAAAATATGGCGTCCATCGAATCACCCTAATTATGTGCATCTTGGAATATTGCTGACATTAATCCACCGTCATTTTTCGTGACGTTTTGAACGTAGTATTTCCTGATGAAGAAACACAGGAGTTATTTTATGATGTTATGAACTCGAGGTTCTAATTCATTTAATACTTCATTTCAGTAAGAGCTGGCGGAGGAAAACTCGAGGAAAATCAACAGGATCTCCGGGGCTTCAAGGACTACTCTCATTAGCGGATAGGGTTTCCAGCCTTGTAAGCAGGAAATTCTGACTCCTTTCGAGAGAGTGAACCAGATTTTCCGGCTATTTGGGCACCAATTCTTCCTCACGGTCTAAGGTCTTTTCAGCCCATTTTAATAAAAGCGAGAACTTCTCACTGATTTGTTTACAGACTGTATCAGTTAGTGTGCTAGGGTTTGGAAATACATTTTTATAAATTCATATGTCGCGGACAAATAGTCAAATCAGGCATTTTGTCAAATGCCTGGGCAAATAGTTAAATATTCTCATTTAGACTGAAATTCTAATTATTTTGCTGACTGTAGAAAAATAGTTCTCTGATCACGTGGAAAAGAATTCCCCGTAAAAACTTGTTCCATACGATCATAACTACGTTTTTTCTCCGTTCGTCCGTTAGTGCGAATTTATCTCGATATATGCAGCATTCCGAAAAATAAAACGTTTTCACAATTAGGACGGATGATGAATATATAAGGAGCATTTTTGAACGGAAAATAAAATGACAGTTTGTACTTTAACGGATTTTTTGTCTCAAACTATTGAAAATTAGAGAGATCTTCGTGAAAACTTAAAAGACCTCGTAAACTCTGAAAATTTAAGTATCTGCCGAGGTATTTGATAACATGCCTGATTTGACTATTTGCCTGCGACACAAATAAACTAATTTGGTCCCAATGGTGATATGAGTTTTCTAGCCCAGACAGGTATCCGAAGTGTCCAGTTACTTAAAAATTTGGCTCTCAGTGCTATTTTAAATTCTGGTTCATTAGATTCTAAAGGCTGAGGTTTTTAAGGTCTCGCACAGCAGAATGAGCTTGATTCAAGACTGTTCAACACCTCGTAAACGGAGACTTTGGTCGTTGGAAGTGGAAAAGATTTACGAGTTATTTCAGATGACTATCGGAAAGGCAAAGTTTGCGAAGAGAAGGGATTTCAGGGATTTCCTCATAGAACCTTAATAAATAATACTATAACTGTATTCCTTATAAGGAGTTTTACATTTTTCGCAAATTTTACACTACGAGACTCCGCGCTTCCTTAAATTATTTGCTTACCCATTTCATGAGATCCGAGGGTTTGGATATACACAAAAAAACTATTCGAATTGTGAGGGAAGGGGTTACTCACACGTCATAATGTCCCATTCGGATACTTTTTGAGTACGTTTACATTTTTTATTCACTGAGAAGGTTGATCTTTTTCGGGACTTTGCGAGTAGCCACGATTGTACCGGAATTTTTTCGACCAGAAAAAAGCGTTTTCAGAGCAGCTCCGTTTAAATTCTGCTCGAGAATCGAAAGGAAACGGTCACGTCGCTAGAAAGAAGGACTGGCGACATTTGGTTGGGTGCGTCTGAGCAATTAAGAGCAATTAAGACAAATTCTAGACAGAGACTAAGAAGAAGACAGCTGAGCCCGCCATCATCGTTGTAATAATTATATCCTGTTTTCTTGCTCTCAGTCTTCGGACGACTCATCCCCCATATCTGACAAGGACAGTGCAAAAAGCATTTGAGATAGCTGACCAACAAATAAACCTCCGTATCATCGCTTCCTCCTAGACGGTGGTTAAAGCGGAATTGGTCACTTGATGGTTGATACGGGCTTCGTGTACCCCGATCTCCTGCAGCCGAAGACAAAATATCTCAGCACTTTATACTGACGTTGAGTAGTTGTGTATGTAGGTGAAAATTAATTTCGGGAATCGACACGCTGAGCTACACCTAAAAACGTGGCTAGTAAATAGTGTCTTGTGCAGTATACTGAGTAAACTTGTCAAACTGGGTTTTACATGGCTGCTCAAATTGCTTTAGTATTCACCTCTTAAACCGCATAATGGGTATGATTTAAAAGAAACAATGAGAAAAGGGTGGTTTTGGGGATATTTTGGCTCCTCCTGACGTTTTTTACCTAACATAAAGGGTCCTGAAAAGCATCTTAAAATCGGTTACCGAAACATGGTTGGTGATTTAGATCGCATCTAGCAAAAAGGAACCAGCGCGATTACAGTGTTTTCAAAATCGTGCAACTTTTTTTTTACTTTTAAAAATATTAAATATATGTACAATTATTGAATTTACACAATTATATTCCTTTAAAATTAACAATTTTTTGGTGGGAGACAAAAACTATATGTTATTCTGGGAGATATTTTAGATAATTATGAAGAAGCAACATTTTTACAACACTGCTATCGCGCCGGTTCTTTTTTGCTAAATGCGGTCCTATCAATCAACAGTTACTCATGACCAACATTGAATGCTGTTTGAAGCTCAACTGTAGCACAGTTACTTGTTCCACCCTTGACGCAAGGTCCCTAAAAATTCGTATTACAAATAAATTACACGAAAAAAATTAAATGCTGTTTCAGCATTTAAATTGTTAAAAAAAAAAGCCCGTCAAGTTTCAAATGCTGAATTTTCAATACAAAAATGCTGACACAACATTTGAATTCGTTCCGTGTACATAATAGTGAGATAGTACTTCTCGAATCGTAATAAAGATTATGACGAATTTCAGACACCCTGACTCATGCTCTTGACATTAATTATTGATTTCGTGCAATGGCGAGACTATACCAAAACGACTCACCAAGTCCTCAAACGTAACCAGTGGCGTGGCGTGAATTGCGATATATCGATTGTTCTGCCATTTAAACCTATGGTAAAGAATCGATTATTGAGGTGTTCGCTGCGAACACCCTGTTAATCGATCCTTTTCCATAGGTTTAAATGGCATAACAATCGATACATCGCAAAGCACGCCACGCCACTGAACGTAACCGCGAGTGGAGGATGATTGATTGAAAAATAAATTTACAGCCTTGACTCGAGCTGCGAGGAAAAAGTTATTGCACCACACCAGAGCTGGACTTTACAGCTTAACTACGGCCGAGAGTCAATGCATCCTAGACGATAACTGATAATTTTTCAGCTGATTAGAAAATTTCCCAGCTTCTTACCTTAACAATAGGGTAGAAAAAAGACAACGACTTCGTTTTCAATTTGGAAGAATGTATTGCTAGTGTCTGTAACCTGCACGATAGAGATGTTTTTACTAAAGATTTATAGCGACGATGATCGCGGGACCTAATCAAATGATGAGCCATTCTAATGAAACCTTGCTTGAAGTACCTGGCATTGCGCACAATTATTATTGATTTGGACGGAAGCGTTTAATTTTCCAACGATCTTGAAATCATTGCAATGATTAACCACTAGCAGATTAAAATTTTTCATTTAATTTCTTTAAAGAGCCATGTGATTAAAGAGCTCATCAAAACTTCTACATTCTTTAAGGATATCCTCTCTGGAAGCATGCGTAATTGTTTTCTTGGCGTACATCTAATTGCTGTGAGCTTGCTTTGCGCGTTATAATCAGCTTAAACTTTTTCTCTCTCCGAGTCTCGTACACGTGACGTACTTAAGGGATGCAACTATTTCGACTTGTAGGAACTGCTTTTGCCTACTCGGAAAAATGAAGGCATATATAACACCCGTTACATAAAGCATACTATATTAGATCCGTACCAACAAATAGGCCAAAGCAGAGCTCCACATCGGAATAGTAAGTTGTCTTACTTAATTGCTGGACTCTAAATCTGAACTTGATAGAGTATACTGTACGACATGACTATATGACTGTAGGTCTATATCAATTCAAGGCTACTGTTACAGCCGAGGATGGCAGACCTTTAATTTGACGCTATTAGATGCAATTTTTTCAATACTATTTTCCTGGTGACTTAAAGTGAATTTTATTCAAGGTTCGGGCCTTCTATGAAGGTTCTGTCTGGTTCTGCCTCAGCAATCATCAACCTAGATTTGGCCGTCTAAGTTATAAAATATAATAACTATCCATGATACGGAATTTTCCTAGAACAATTGTAAAAGGTGTGGCTCATGGCTCAAGTACGATTCACCGGGAACTAAGAAGCAATTCCAAGTTATTCGTACTTCAAATAAATGCGCTATCAAGATGTTCTAGTATTAAAATTACTTCCGAACTTCTGAGTAAAAGTAAATTTTGATGATGTACCCTCGGCTAAAACATGAAAACTTCATAAAGAAAGGATAATTTCTTGGCCGCGCATTTTATTCCACTGATAGAGAGTAGAGTGTCAAAATGGAGCAGCCATAGGAATTGAAACAATGATCCATTCCAAGTTCCATTCAAGTCCAAGTACTGTTTTGACTGATTTATTTGCCTGGTTTGTTTATTGATTGTTTTTCTCTCTTTGACTGATGGATGGGTTAACGAAACATGTAATCATATTTCAATTGGTTTCATAGCATCGACATTCAGTATGAAAGGGGATAGCTGAATTTGATGAGACTTGATGTGGAATAAAAGTTCTATTATGCCACCGTCATATACCGCAAGGCACGGTAACATTAGAGATACTTGTAAAAAACATTTCATTGCCAATTGATTATGTCTCCTTGATTTATACGGTACAGGGTGTCTACTTAAACAGGCTGGCCACAAATCAGTACTTTTTCAGTACATTCCAGAGAAATTCAGCACCTCCTCCACAGAAAAATTCAGTTATTTTTCAGTACCTCCATTTTACGAAATTCGAAAAATTTCAAAAATTTGAATTTCTCGCTCCAATTGAGACCAAAGTGACAAAAAATGCAAAAATTGCGGCCCTTCTTTTCGAATTCCGCACTTTTTCAGTACTTCCGGACCGCTCTTAAAAAATCAGTACTACATATATATTTCCGAACTTTCCAGAAATTCCGGACCTGTAGACACCCTGCGGTAGCATCTGACTTAAAATATTGCGCTATGCGAAATGGACGTATTTCTGTCAAACGGAACTAAGCGCCTTCGGAGGAGGAAGGTAGAGGGGGGCTTGGATTGGCGGCGGAATCGGGCGTCGGGCTCATTCCGTCCTATACTCGCAATGCTTTTCCATGACGCTTAGTTCCGTTTGACAGAAATACGTCCAAATATGAATCTTGATTGAAGGTTTAAAGGAACTTACTTCTGTGAATGGACTTCCTGCAGACAGCATGGTCTTGAAGGTAAGCAGAGTGGGTTCTCTCCCTGTCACAATCTGTGAGGGTGAATTGTGTGTGGTTGAAGGGCTCGCCACATCGAGGATCTACGTCTGTAGAGCACTGCCAGCATTTGATTCCTTCAACTGAAACAAAAAACAAAAATTGGAATTTAAAGGCTCGCTTCGATGAATTCAATTTATTGGTGAGTCAGCGATCTACCAAAAAATGGCTTTCGAAATATAAAAAGCACTGGAAAAAAAGTCGCTTGGATCTAGAGTCCAGACTCTTGAAAACAATGACAGGAAAAAATACTCTTAATTCGATCGGATTTTTGCTTCAATAAGAAGAAAATCCGCTCAAAAACGGAAATCCATTTGATTCCTTCAACTAAAACAAAAAACAAAAATTGGAATTCAAAGGCTCGCTTCGATGAATTCAATTTATTGGTGAGTCAGTGATCTACCAAAAAATGGCTCTCAAAATATAAAAAGCACTGGAAAAAAAGTCGCTTGGATCTAGAGTCCAGACTCTTGAAAACAATGACAAGAAAAAAAATACTCCTAATTCGATCGGATTTTTGCTTCAATAAGAAGGAAATCCGCTTAAATTGAGAGGCTTGGTTCTCGATTTAAGCAAAATTCCGATTGAACGGAGAGGTTTATTTCTTATCAATGTTTTTAAGAGTCTGGACTTCCATATGGGGAGCCATGCCCTATTAATCGAGGTCAATAAGTTAAAATAAAAACGGCTTGGACGGAATTTTCGGAGGAAAAAAAGAAGGGAGGAACCATTCTGTTTCGCGAATATTTTTATGATTTGACGATTAAAATTTTGCTTTCATGCAAAGTAGATCGATTAGCACTTTACATGAGCTTCCCTAAAGCCCGAAGCGTTAAAATTGCGACATGCCATGCTCGTTTAAACGGATGTTCCTCGATTAATAATAAAACGGTGGGGCCAGTCTCTGACTTGGAGAGCTCTTCATTGATAATTTAAAAACCTTGGCATTAAACGGCGCGCTATGCTGTTTTAAAGGGCTTGGACCAAACAACTAAGTTTGACCTCATAAAGCCAGCGCCTGACGGTTTTCCATCATTTTCCCCCTTAGTGCGTCGCAACCACCCGTTTGAACTTATAGGATGATCGCTCCGTTTTTCCGTCGTCTTCTTTGTCCATTGCTTTGTCTATTAATTTCGATAATCACCCCGCAGGCCTCTCGAACCGATTATTTTCCAAATCTCGTAAGCGCCAAAATTGCGAATGCGATAAAAAAAAAGAAAAACCGTTTTATTCGCTTTTTTGACAATCCTCGAATTCCAAAAAAAAAAAAAAATTGTATGGTCTTTAAGAATGCTATTTTGAAATCAGACATGATTGATTATACTAGAGAAAGCAAAGAAAAAACAACCCCTCTCACCAAAATAGAGATTGGCGCTCACGTGATTCAGAAAATAATCAGTTCAGTTAATGGCATTATATATATATATTAAGTCGCTCTACAAAGCACTCTGGCGTTCTACGACACCAAAACGCCACATATGCCTGTCTTCCCAGAGGTTATTAATGGCATTATGCGATATAAAAATCACTATTTGGGCCTTTGCTCATACTTCCTCTCCTGCTATCAAAACTTCCCGTTCTCAATTTAGACGGCCAAACCTCAAAAAATCACATGACTGCGAACGCATTATATATATAAAAAGTCGCTCTACAACGCACTCTGGCGTTCTGCGACACCAAAACGCCACATATGCCTGTCTTCCCAGAGGTTATTAATGGCATTATTCGATATAAAAATCACTATTTGGGCCTTTGCTCATACTTCCTCTCCTGCTATCAAAACTTCCCGTTCAAAAAATCACACGACTGCGAACGCAGCCATTCAACTCTCCGAGTCTCCAAAACTTGATGGGTCTAGCAACGTGGAGGTCAATCGCAAACCTCACAAGGCTCCACGCTCGACGATAAGTGGGGGAGGCCGGGTCAAACAGCCGGGTTGATTGCCTCAGTTTTTGACTGCCATAATCACCGCACGACTCCCTCCGTTCCCCACATCATTAATTTATCGAATCCAATGTAAAATGAAGCTAAATTGCACCCGAACCCAGCGTCGCACAGAGGATCGAGTCAATTAGAAAAGTCGGATATCGAATTTTTGACTAAAACTGCAAATTTTGACGTTTATCTCGTCACATTTCAAATTTCAAGGGGTGTTTCTTATAGAAAATTTCACGAGAAAACCAACGGAGTCACTTTTAGAACCTCAAAATTTTGTATAAACGGAGTTAGAAGGGTTTAAAGTTTCAACATGTTGTCCGACCTCTCCTACTGACTCGATCCACTGTGCGTCGTCGCTTCTGAGCCTCGGTGCTTGGTATTGAGCTTCGAGATGTTTTGTGGATAGTTTTTCCGTTGCTGCAACTACCGACTACCGTTCCCGACGCGGTTATGAAATCATTTGCATAACCAATCTGTTGCAGACGATGACGGACAGGGCAGGCGGAGGGGTGAGGAGGGGGATGCGTTGGATCGGAGATGGACGCGTTTAGATCCGAACATCGGCGCGTTTAACGATGAGACCATGCATCCCACTTATGTCAGAAAAAAAAAACTACGCAATTCGTCGTATCTTAGGCGAGGGAACGTATCCTCATTCCGAGGTTGCAAAATTGACCTGAACAATTCATTTCATTAATTTTCACAAGGCTATGAGTTAAAAATTGTCTAATTTTCAGTAAGAATCAGGAGAAAAATCAGCTACATTTTCAGTCAGAAGTGCCTGACAGTTTTCCGGTGAAAGTACAAATTGCGAGCGGAAACGTGTGCAACTTCATGACATATAGTTACGTTACCTCGTTTCTAATTTTCACAAAAAAAAGAAAGAAAACTTGTAGCACATCCTTCCTCGTGCAAAAATATCAAAGGAAAACATGTAAAAATAATGTAAGTAGACGGGTCGGTTTGGAAAAAAAAAAAAACTGGTTGGCCTCCTATCCCGGAACTGACCCTCACTGAATAAAGCACACATTTCTGAAATAGCAGGAAAGGTTTAAAATATCTGTGCGAAAGTAACCTTGCATTGTTAGAACTCTGGGAGTGATATGCTGCGCCGGAGTGTGTAAGGTCATGGAAAGTTGCGAAAGTCAATCTGGCATAATATCTAGTGCAATGTAGAAAAAGAAATGTACGTATTTAAATCAAAAAGAACTAAATCCATTTTGACACGAGCCATGTTATGCATGTACTATTATGGACCTTAGGCCCATGTCAGAATGGATATGGCTCCGTTTGATTTAAATGTGTCCAAATATACTCCTTATCTTCGTATAGATATGCCCCAAAATTGTCTAACTCGCACCTCTTCATGACTACATACAGCCTGGCTCCTCATATCAGATTTCTGACGGTGCAGTCTCTAAAAATTGACTAGTTTGTAGAATACTTCCGCATCCTATTTGAGTTAGATCACATTCACTGACAATTAGACACACGTCGGATCTCAAAATATTTGGGTACGAAGCCAACGCAGAACCTGTTCCTTTTTGAGGCAAGAAGCATGATGTACTATTCATAAAAATTTTCATAAATTATCATGAGTTGACTTACATATACACTCTACCCTGTCGAGAGTAAAAATTCAAACGAATTTCATGTATCCTATTTTTCCTCTTCTTTCTCATACAAAACACTTTTTAGCAACGAGGCAAACCAGTATTTATCGTTAAGTATTTAACCGGACCTAACATTTTACCTACCGAAGAGGAAACATTCATTCTCTAAATAATATCGTATTGTTTGATGCCTCTCATCTTATTTGGAGCAAACCTATAGAGCATTATCACATTTTTAAAGACCCGCGTTCCGTATTTATCAACAAAATTGTTTCTCACGATTTGGCAATCGCAATGAGTCGGTAGGAGCGGAAAATTTCAAGGGACATGCAGAACGAAAGGCATTGTCGGGGGAAGCGCGGGGGCAATTTTGCCCCAGACTCCAAGAGCATGTCTGCCGCGCTAAGGAAGAACGTCGTATCAGCCTTCAGACGTTGCCAAACTTCCTTTGACAAATCGCGAATTCTCGGACAAATCTGTATTTATTTTCATTTCGATTTTTCAGAGATCTGTGCGTAATTTGATCAAAAAGGTCTGAAAATTTCCAGGAAGATGTAGTTGTAACTTTCCTCGAAAATCAACATTTTTTGAGAGGTTTGGCAACTTCGAATGCTTATACAGCGTTTTTACTTATCACAGCAGATGTTCACGCCGCGCCGCGCAGTGGATCGAGTCAATTAGAGAGGTCGGAAATGACATTTTTAACTAAAACCGCAATTTTTGCTATTTATTTCGTCACATTTTAAATGTCAAGGGGTGCTTTTGGAAGAAAATTTTACGAGGAAATAATTGAAACCACTTTTGTATTCCAAAATTTTACATAAACGGAGTTATGAGCTTTGCAAGTTTTCACATTTTGTCCGACCTCTCCTGTTGACTCGATCGACTGTGCGGCCGTTCGCCGACAGATCCTTCTGTCGTCAACCAGTCGAGGGTGAAACTGCTCTCTATCACAAATCTAATTTAACGCGCAGGTTCATCTTACGGCACGGGTTTTCTTCTTCGACCAGACTGAAGCGTCTAGAGTGGGTAGCCTGTAGAAGAGGAGAGGTAGAGGGCAATGCACGGTTGCTAAAATGTCGCTAAGTTACGGCTTTCCTCCATGCTCGACTGGTAAAGAGAATCAGAATGGACCAATATACCGTCCATGAAACTAATATACTGCAAAATCAGCTCTTTAAGCACTTTCAGATGAAGCAATAAAAAAATTGCGTGCAAAGTCTCCATTGTATGTAGAGTTCACGTCGAATAATTTTATGCACTTTTAGACTGTGACAGAAGATCCGCCATCTTGATTTTTCTATTTTTTGTGCATGTAAAAGTGACATCCCACGATCTTCTGTCGCAGTCTAGAAGTGCGTAAACTTCTTTGGCGTAGACTCCACGATTTGTAAAAGTTTTCTCATGAAACATACATAGTGGGCACATCGAAAGATGATGAGACTAAGAAGTCACGTACCTTGGTCGTGCCTTGGTCGATGACGTTTTCTGTCACATTCGACTGTTTTTGAAAAAACTACCGTTATAAGTTA